AGTCGAAATCTCTATTTTTAAATAAGTTTTCTATGTGAGCTGCAAAATCACATTTTGCAGGAAGAATATCAAAAAAATTTGGCTACTGGTACCCCATTCGATCATGAAGAGATTCGCAAGAAGGCAATGGAAGACCAGCCATTTTTCATGAAGTTGTTCGGTCCGGACCTGATGTCAGAAGAGCAGAAGGAAAAAATCGAAGAGACGGTAATTTCAGAGATCCATCTTCGTCATTCTCAAGGATTTTCCATTATAAAATAATAATTTTAGGCTGAGCAATTTGAAAGGATAGTGCGACAAACAAACACCAAGAATATTCAAACTGAACCACCAACTTTCTTTGTTGCTGGTACACAAATGGAAAATCTCGCTAATGTGAGTCCCACGACCAATTATCGTAAAATCCCAGTAAGAATGGGCATTAGTGTATTATCTATAGAGCATGGCTTGTGATCCAATGTCAGAAACCAGCCATATAATAATGGCCAACGGTGAAACACAATGGTCCAAGTAAGCAATTTTTTACTATTAATCAATATCCATCTGAAATTTTTTTGATTTTCAGACAATTTCCATCATCTATCCCAGATGAGAATACGTCTTTTGCCGACGATCGTGACTCCATATCTGATGCTACAAGCCTTCCGATGGATTCAATAAGGTTTGATCACTGCAGCCTTAATGAATGGACGACGTTCATTCATCCATTCAAATAAAGGATATTCGAATGGATGAATGGACCAATGAGTGATTGAGTGAATGAATGAGTGATTGAGTGAATGAATGAGTGAATGAATGAATGAGTGAATGAGAATGGAGTGAATGGATGAAAACGTAAACAAACATGAGCGCGAAGAAGTTAATGGATGAATGGAGGATGAATGGAGTAGTTGAATGAGTGATTAATTAAACGAATGAATGGATGAGCATTGAGGAATGCGATGAACGAATGATTGATTAGATGAAGAAATGAATACAAAGGAATAGTTTGAGTCGAATGAATCGAATGAATCAATGAATTTTAGCTATGCAGCGCT